GCTGAAAAGCAGGTGCCCATGAGGGACTGGTTCCACCGTGAACTGATCTAATGAGTGCGCGATGGAGCGCTGGGGCTTGATCCTGGCACTGATCTCACATTTGCAGTCTGTCTGTTCTCCGACTGCTTCAGTGCAGCTTCGGTTCAGCGTGGAAATGGATTTCTGGATGTCGAGTCTGCCAGGTGTCATCTATAAAGAGAAACTCAGACGAGAGCTCTAAATTTGGCTGCTCGGTACTATTTGCTGAAAATTTGTATCTCAAGGTTTTGCCATTAAGCTAAGCAGCACTGTTTTGTCTTCAGTGTAACACCTAGCCCATTATGTGCCACGAGGAAGGAGACAATACTTACGCATTCCAAAGATTTTAATAACACACCACATAAGCGGGTCACTGATCAATCGGGGCTGCAGGACAAGGACTCGGGAGCCTCGTTTCTCCTGACAGCCAAAAGCAAGGGCAGAAGTGGGGTTTGTAAGTACAAAAATCACAAACATTTGAGGCCGAGGTACAGTTACAATGTTCAACAATCAGGATTTACAATACAAGCTTTCCAGTTCAGCCAATCAAATTCGTTTTTTCCTTCTGTTGTTGGGAACAGCCATAATGTTTCTACAGAACTAAAGATGCATAATAACCATTTCTATGGCATAGGGTGGAGGTGGGTCAGCCACTGGAAAGTTCTCGGTTCCCCTGAGGCTTATGAACTTGAATTTTATTTCACTCTACAGGTAAAAATGGAGTCTAAAGTCAAAATGGCAGTACTCAGGCCAAGGTGCTTTTGCCTGCTCCCTTCATCTCCAGGACTCCAGGTCTCCAGGTCTCTCTGACTCTAGCTCTGCTTTTGCTTTCACTATGGTCTCTCCAAATGATATTAAACATGATACCACACTTTTCACTCACTCCTTCATTCCTGACAATTTGCTCACTCAACTGCCCTCGTGTGAGGCTGTCTGTATTTGCAGGACACTATGTGGGGTGCCATGGAAGATATGGCATTGTACAAATTGTCTAGTCTTCACCAAACGTATGGAGCAGATGAGAAGGGGAAAAGCAATTTGGACTCTTCAGGATAAAACTCAGTTTGTATTCCAAAGAGCTGCAGGAAACAGTGAGATTCATAAGAGAGGAAATCCCCTTTTTTAAAAAAGATGAAGGGGAAATGACTTGCCAAGCTGATTCATCTTGGACAAGTCCCCAACCTGGGTCTGGAGATTGAACCATGTTGGTAATGTGATCTATGAGTAATGAGTTAACTGGGGTGGAATGAAACACAAGAAAGCTAACAGCGAGTTTCCAGGTCTCTGTAAATTTACTCCAAATCTTTTATACCAGTCACTTAATCTCACATCCGCAGTTTTGTCTGTGAAACATGGATAATGACAAAATACTGTGCTTTGCAGGTCTGCTGTAATATATATAGAAATCTTTAGATTCTAACAAGGATACAGAAATATTGTTTTATACCATATGCTGATCTACCTCAGGGTATTAAGGTCAGCTCCCAAAAGTATCTTACAATACAATATACATCGAGTATCAGGAAGTGTGTGCCTCAGTTTTTATGCACTAGGAGGCCTTGTATAAGACATTAGTCTATGAGTCTGTATTTATCTGTAAAGTAAGAGAAACACTATATAGACTCCCAATGTAGATTCGTCTGCTCTAATGATAAATGCTTTCCTTCTGGACCTATTCATCCCCCATCCTAGGAATATCAGTGACCCTGATACAGCACCACTAACATTTTGGTGGCTGTTCTTCCATAACTCTGTGTCTGTAAAGCTCTTCACACACGCCTACCCACTCACAGATTATTTTGCATAAATGTACTTTAGCAATACATGGGTTTTTGAAAACTGTCACCACCATCTCTTCGTATTTGACCCTTCCCAATGCATCACTCTGTGGTCAACCCAAGAATTATCTGCTCTGTTGAGGCCCTGCTGAACATGGTCTCAACAAGGCAAAATTTCTCAGCTCTGGGACCTGACATTGCTCATAGTCCCTAATGCTTTGAAGCACTTCCTTCCAGTCTGTAAACCTTTCCAAAAGCTGGAACCATGCCCAATTCCTCTTCACACCTCACTTTTGATGCGGCCCCAAACACATGATAGGCACTTAGTAAAGGTATAAATAAGCAAAGGGATGAATAAGGAAAAGGTGGGGTTGAGGACAACGAGTAAATCTAATATGAAAATCTTTTAAATAGTTTGTACAAAATTATTTTCCTTCTCTATAGCCCAGTTATATGTGCAATCTTCCTGAAATCATATATAATTTATATGCACATTTATAAGCTTATATTTGGTATTTGATATTAATTCTAAATGTAAAGCTTGTAAAACTCTAGAATATGTTCATTGAGAATAATTCTTTTGCTTCTAAATCTTGTCAGGGGAAAGCAGAAAATCAGGATTATTGGCATTTGATGTGTTCTGTTCCAGAAGAGAGTCGTCCAGGTGACGATAAGATACTGGCAATGTTTCTGCTGTTTCTTTCCTAGAACCGGCTCCTCCAGGCCAGAGCAGCTAGGAACTTTATGTGAAAAATCAACATGGAACTTTTCTAAATTTACAAAGCCCACAAGAATGGCCTGGGAATCATCTTCAAATACAGACAAGGTGAGGTTTGAGTTTTGTATCTCTAATAGGTGTCTAAGGGCTGTCCATTTCTCTGGGCCATGGACAGCTATCTGGAAAGTAAGAGCACAGAGAATAAAATCAATATTATCAACTCCACTCCCGATAGTTACATCTGGAGAACTGTTTTTGGATATGTCTTATAAAAAAGAAGAAGAAATGTAAGTTTAATAGCAACCTCAAATGACTTGAAATAGCTCAGCTTGAGTACTTACTACCCATTCATCCATCGATTGGGGGTCTTTGGTGGTTTCTAATAGAATTTTGATTGAAATCAGAAACTCTTACACTATTTCATTTTAAAGGGTCATCACCTTTTCTACAAAGAAAATATTCCATCTAGATAAACATACTTCAAAAATACTAACTTTAATGGGAGAAGAAGTAAAAATGTTGTGTCCTGCATGCAGTAAAAACTCAGGATCTTGAGCTCAATGCTTACATTCCAGCTCTCAGAATGGAAGGCTGAGCGTCTCCAAGGTAGATGACCTCTGGCCTAAAGAGAATGCAAACTCCATCTACACTGATGCACTGAACCCATAAGTCATTTGGGGGGAAAACTGATATCTAGACAACATTGACCCTTCTCTCGTAAACTTACTTTCTCTCTCAATTTGTTTAGGATTTTAATTTCTTTCAGGAATATTTTCTAATGATTATTCTGTAAATCTTTCATGTATTTTACATCTTCTCTAAGTTGACTTTGTTTTGAGATGCCATTATTTTGAGATGCCAAATAGTTTTTATCCAATTGCCACTGATAACACTTTAAAGAAGAGATGTATTTTGTACCCTAACGTTGTGTCCTATGACCTTGCTAAACTCTTACTGATTCTGTAAGTTTTCTAACAGTCTATAGAAATGTCCATGTATATAATCATGTCGTCTGTGACCAAAACCCACTTGAGTTTCCTTTTCTGACACCATTCTTTTCAGTTATATTTTTGCCATTGCACTTGTTATATCTCACAATCTAATGCTGAATCGATGGCACTTTCTCCATTCCTCTTCATTTTCCTGTCATTTATTTAACCATTTTTCTCCTGATTTCTATTTCCCTGCCTCCCTCCTTTACCCCATCAATTTACCATCTCCATGCTTGCCCTAAATAATTTAAAAGGTCAAATCACGTTCTATAGTAGTTTTTCCATCTCAGTTTTATTATCATTGGTGGTAATTACTAGGTATTAATCAGTCTTAAGGGAATTGCTATGCCTTGTAACATTGGATGCTATTGCTGTTAAAGCAATTTGTTGTTTCCTCTCTGTGTATAGCACTGAACATTGAGTCCTCAAGAGAAGGTTGATAATTAAGATTCCCCCCCCAAAATCAGATAAATATGCAACAAGATGTACACGTTTCATTCAGCATAGACACACAAGAAACATGGAAAGGCAATATGACTCCTCCATGGGATCATAATTCCTCAATTCAGATTGGAGATAATGAAATCATAAAATACTGGGTGAAGACTTCAACTTACTGGTAAAAAAAATGATCACAAACCTGAGAGGATGCAAACAATTAGATGAATTCAATGCAAGACCTGGAGAGGAAAGTCAGCCACACCCCCAGAAAGAGCCAGAAAAATAGATGAAAAAATCAACCATATGGATGGAAAGTCATCAATATGGCAGACAAATTCAACAAGAAAAATGATTTTAAAACACTAAAAGAAACAAAATCTATTCATTGAGATGATAGCAGTCAAGTCCCCAAATCCACAGACTTAAAAAGACAACTAAACATGAGTGTTTTAGACCCACAATCAACATGGCCAGAAATATGTACAAAGCATATTACAGTCAAATGTCAGAAATGCAAAGCAAACAGGCAATACTAACATCTTAGAAATGTCAGCTTGCCTGAAACAGCAAACTCATCAGAATAACATCCAATTTTTCGTTAGCAACAAAATCCAAGCATGGATACTATAGCTGCTTGGACTGTCCTTCAACTCACTCTGAACCCAGACTAGAGTCTCGGTCTTTGGTGTTGTATGTAAGCTCTCTCCTGCATGAAAGGCCAAACAGGAAAGCATTTTTTTGCAGTATGTCAGCATAGCAGTGGTGACACACAGAGTTGAATGTGCTGTCCCATCCTCCCACTCCTCTTCTTATGAAATATGAGTTTCTCAAACTTCAAGACGTGATGTTTTCATCACCAATAGGCAACATGGTTGACCTCAAAGGAAATGCAACCACAAATTAAAACCAAAAGCAAAGGCATTTGTAATCCTAGTACATTTTAAAGAAACATGCCAGGAAACACAGAATTGAGCCCACTGGCAAACTTGATCCATTCAGATAGCCTGATATTAGTCCTTTGAATAAAGCGAACAGGTTTTCACACATCTATTACCTGTGCTGAGTGGCCCATCTTCCTCATCCCACAACACATCTGCTGCATCATGGAAGCACAACCACTGAAAAACACCAACAGTGCACTAGTTTGCAAATTGCTCCCTAGCTACCAAAATTGCAAACCACCATCCTCCACAAAACGTTGTGTGTGTGTGTGTGTGTGTGTGTGTGTGTGTGTGTGTGCGCGCGCGCGCTCATGTGTACGTGCATGTGTGCGTGCTCGTGTGTAAGGTAGAGAGAGCTGGAAATGGAGCTTGTTCTTTTATTTACTTAACAAGTATTGATCTGTCTGCTAGGTCTGCTTACCTTGACAGGCATTCCAAAGCACAAAGCTAATCCCTTCCCTAAGTACTGGTTTCCAGTATATGAAAGAGCAGAACTCAGCAGCAAAGAGAATGTCTTCCTCAAAGTCGAAGCTAGAAGTAATCCCTAGGAAACCTCGCATCTCATAGAGATTCCCAGCTCAGTTTTGTCGTGCGTATAACTGTGTTGTGTCACACAACCTATGCTGATAAGCATGTGTCAGCCCAGAAGGTCAGCAGTTTTCCAAGAAGGTGGGAGTGTGCCATGAGGATTGTTAGCACCCAGCTAACAAACAAATTTAATTATAAGCCAAATAATTACACTTCCATGTGCAGAGACAGGGAAAGCCGCCTACAGGGATATGAGTTTTCTCCAATGATGTCTCTAGAGGGCCTGAATCTGAACATGCCTAAAATAGAAAAGGCAAACAGGAATGTATATACCTTAACTTGATGGGACTTTTGTCACAAGAAGGTGATTTACTGGCTCCTCCATTTCTTATTGGATGCCTACGATGTCTGCCATCATTGGGTCTTCTCTGACCACTTCCTTTAACCTTGTATTCTAAAAAAATAAAAATAATAGGGATTTCATTTCTGTGTTGAATCAAGTGAAAGAACCCGGTTTCAAATAATTACCAACTATATATTTCCATTTCTAAAGGCAAAAGAAAATACAGGAATAGGGGATGAATAAGAGGTTTCCTAGGGTTAAGAAGAATGGAGGTTGTAAATGCATGGGTGGTTTAAAAAGCATTAGGACATTAACATGGCAGTTTCTTAGCCACACAGGGTGGTTACACGAATCTATGCAGGTGTAATAATCAGGATTCATACAGTTGCTCATAACTGAATTTTACTGTGAAGAAAAACTTTAAATTGACTTAAACATTATGTGCCTATTTCTGTGCCAGCGCAACAGTAAGATGCCCCTCGTGGTAAAGATGCCACACATCTCCCCTCCAGTCTCCATCAGCACCACTGTGGCACTGATATGTCAGCATCCTGCGCATGCTATGCAGCGCTATTTCTGCCATCATTGCAATAGTGTTACTTCAGCTTAGTTCTCAACGCCTCATCTCTAAGTAATAGAGCTCAGACTTAAGTAATCTGCCATTGCTGTGAAGCTTTGACTTTCTGTCTCAGCTCCCACTTCATCTCTCTAGCTTTGGTGTCACTATTTTTACATTTATGACTAAAAAGATATGTCTGGAGCCTTTGTTTAATTCCCAGCATGCACTTGTGGAAAACGAACCCTCATCTAACCTCCAGATTCTCAGTCACACTTTTCAAATGAAACGTGCTCAATGATTGAGTGAGGGTAATCCTTCCAGAATGTTCTTTGCATGTAAATGCATTAGACACACTTTGAAAATATTGCTTATGAATAGAAGCACTTTATTCATATTGTCCTGTGTGGTGTATCGTTTAACATATTTAGTGAATTTTGCATTTCAAAATAACTATGTCCCCCTTATGCCTTTGTTTTTGTTGTTGCTTTATTTTTGGATTTATTTATTTATTTATTGTAAGTATGTGAATGTTTTGCCTGTATGCATGTATGTGTAGCATGTATGTATCTAGTACCCTCAGAAGTCACAAGGGGATATCAGATCCTCTAGAACTGGAACTAATGGGTACTTATGAACCATCATAAACACAGGTCCTCTGAAGAGGAACAGGTGATCTAAACAGCTGAGCCATATCTCTCAGACCCTTGGTTTGGATTTTTTAAGACAGGGTCTCATGTAATCCAGAATGACCTCAAAGTAGCCATGAAGCTGAAGATGGTCTTGAACTCTTGGATTCGCTGCCTCCATCTGCCAAGGGCTAGGCACATAGACTTGAGTCATGATGCCCAGTCATTTTATTGTTCTTAGAGGTATGACTATGGAAACATTTGGGTTTTCCTAGTTTTGCCAGTGTTGCCATCATAAACTGCAGTGCTGTGAACACCTTTTATACTTACAATGCTATAGAATCATACAAATATAATTGTGGAACAATTTCAAGGTTGTGGAACTAATTTCAAGGTTGACACTACCAGTTTGTTCATCACTATAAATTACACCAAATTGTGCTACCAAAATGTTGATATTCTTACCTAAGGGATATGAGTGTTCTGGCTTCTCATAACTGCCCCAAGACCCCAACTCTCAAATCTTCTTCAGCAGGTTTTATGAGTTATTTCCTTGTTGTTTTAACCTGTTTCACTTTCTAGCATTAGTATGTCATGGTAATCTCTGGCTTCATTTCTTATCAACCTACTCTCAAGGTTGCAGCTACCCACAGTAACTCACACATTTGAAAATATTAAGTGGGAGACTGACTCATAAATGTTAGATAACTTGTTCTAGGATAGTTACTCTATTTTGTTAGGTATTGTTAGTCTCTTGCTGTGCATAATTAAAAAAACAAAACAAAATTTGTCCATAGGCCATACAGGGAAAATGCTAACACAAGATTGTGTAACAGCCATAGCTTTAATGTTCCATTGAGGACCATGGAACATATATACGCCCCTAGATAAGAGTGGAGCATCTGCCCATTCACACAACAAGGATGTGTATTCCACTATGTTCGTAGCAGCATTATATGTAATAGCTAGATCCTGGAAGCAACCTAGATGCCCCTCAACTGAAGAGTGGATAGAGAAAATGTGGTACATTCACACAATGGAGTACTACTTAGTGGAAAAAAACAATGGGATCTTGAAATTTGCAGGTAAATGAATGGCACTAGAGGAAACCATCCTGAGTGAGGTAACCCAGTCACAAAAAGGCAAACATGGTATATATTCACTCATATATGGATTTTAGATATGGATCAGGGGAGCGTTAGACTACAATCCCAGTGCCAGTGAGTCTGGGAAACAGGGAGGTTCCCAAGAGATATGCATGATACCCCAGAGGAGTGGATTGAGCCAAGATCTCCTGAGCAGACTGGAAACATGGGGAAAGGAAGAGGGAACCAGGAAAAACGGGGGGGGGGGAAGAAGAGGGGAGAAGAAGGCATGAGGCAGCAGGAAAGTTGAGTCAAGGTAAGAATAGAGGAGAGCAGGATGAGAGATACCATAATAGATGGAGTTATTATAGATTTGAGGAGAGAGCTGACACTAGTGAGATTTCCAGAGATCTACAATGATAACACCAACTGGCAAACTAAGCAATAGCGGAGAGACTACATTAATAGCCCCTCCCGGATGATAAGGTTGATGACTACCTTATATGCTATCCTAGAACCTTCATCCAGTTACAGATGGAAGCAGAGACAGATGCCCGCAGCTAAACACTGAACTGAACTCCTGGAACCTAGTGACAGAGATGGAGGAGTGATGAGCAAAGGGGTCAAGACCGTGCTGGTGAAACCCACAAAGACAGCTGACCAGACAAGGGGGAGCTCTTGAACCCAGACTGATGTCTAAGAGGCCAAAAGAGGACTGATTCAGACTCCATGAATGTAGTGTCAGTGAGGAGGCCTCAGAAATCTCTGGAGCCTTGGGTAGTGTTTACCATGGCATACAAATGAACTTTGGGAGCCCATTCCACATAGAGGGATACTATCTCAGCCTAGGTCCTGCCCTGGATGAAATGACAGACTCTGGAGATTCCCCCCAAGGAAGGCCTCACCCTCCCTGGGGAATGATATGGAGATTGGGTGGGGGGCTGAAGGGGGATTGATGGAGAGACAAGGGAGGAGGGGTGGGAGAGGGAGCTGGGATTGACATGTGAAGCATTCATGTTTCTAATTTAAATAAAAACATATATTGAGAAAAAAAGTGGAGCATCTATATTAGTGAGTGACTAATGAGTGATCTAAGGATGATTAAGACTGGATGAGAAATTGGCACGTGGGCCGCAGAGAATTCACCAAGCTCAAGGGCAGGGGCTCATGGGCCTGCCTCTGTCTCTTCACATCCTGGCGCTGCCCCTACTGTTTTCACTCACACAGCTGACCTTCAGGACAGCAGCACAGGCCTCTTCTCTTCTAGAGTGGCCACACTTGGCACTTCCATCAGAAATGAAGCAGAGACCTCTCCACTGTCATACTTACCAACTTAAAGAACGAGCGTCCCTGAATACTCCTAAGCAACTGCCTAGGGCAAGCCCAAGGAGGCACTGAAAATAGCTGCCCACGCTGCTTGACACCCTCAGTCCAAAGCCCTGGTCCACTCTCCACTGCTTTGTCTACTCTCCCTTGTGAGTGAGACAACAGGAGTCTAAGTCAGTCAAGCCATCTTGCTGTGACCAGTTTGTTGAATACACAGGACTTGAGATATTATCCAAATACAGCTTTGCTTTTGTTTCTCCGTCCCATTATACATCATTCGGCGTTGATAATCTGTGCCAGGATGAAATTCTTGCACTCCCTTAGATTTGGGGTTTCTTTTTTTGAGTTACTGGTTCCTGCTGTCACCTTCTGTAACACGTGCCGTCACCTTTCCATTCTTAGGGTGCCTTGCCCTGAAATGGCTAAATACGTGCTACCCAGTGCCCAGTACCTTCCCTGCCCCACACTTGGGGTACTGCAGCTGAGGGTATAAAGTGGAGAAGGGAGTCTGGCCTCTCAACCCTGTCAGGAAGAAGAGGGAGGAGGAAGAGAGAACGGGGAGAAGGAGAGGGAGAGAGGCGGGGGAGAAGGAAGAAGAGACAGGGAAGGAGGAGAGGAAGGAAGGAGAGGGAGGAGGAACAAGAGAATCATAATAATGACTAAGAAGAAAAGAAGGGGGAGGAGAAAAGAAGAAATCGAAGTATCCCCCAAGCCATGGGTTCCTGCAAGCTCCCCCTTGATCCTGAAGAATGGAACTCTGATCCAAATAGTTCCCAAACATCCTTCCCAGAGCTCCCACCTGTTTCGGCCATGGAGGCCCTTTGCATCCCACTGATAGCCTGGATTAGCTTCCGTTCAGTGGGGAGCAACTGTGAACCTGGAGCTGCAGGCAGGTCCCTACCAACTCTACCCTCCCGCAGCCAGTCCAAAGTTTACCTTCCTCCAAGTCTTTCGGGGGACAGTTTGGTTCCCTCTGTGATCATCTCTGGCTATCTCTGACTCCTCGGGCATCAGCCATCTGAGTCCCACTGTATCCTAACTTCTGGAATTAGAGACCCAGGCTATCCATGTGGTCCTCAGGAAGCTTCCACCAAGACGAGCTTGAGCTGAGGGGGCAGAGATGAGCACAAAGCTGGGTGTCAGTTAAAGCAAGAATAAACAGATGTCATAGTCCAAGACACACTAGCATTAAACACACACACACACACACACACACACACACGCACGCACGCACGCACGCACGCACACACAAAAGCAGCAAGATGTCACGGTCTTCTGCCACTCCTGTCCCCTGAGGCAAGCCACAGATGAAGGCTTGATGATGCCTTCCTTCAGATGATGATCATAAGGTTCTCATCTGAGAGATGTCCTACAACACTGAGTCAGAGGAAGGGGGAGCTGCAGTCTGAAGCCAGAGACGGGAGACGAATCTGAAGGCAAAGCCTGTATTCCTCTAATTAGGGCCATTAGAAAGTCTGTTCCTTTGTCCAGTCAAGTGACCCTCCACAGCTATCCCCTTCTTCAAACTTGGCGTTAAAAACATGCAACTCCTTCCATTCCGCTGGTTTGTCATTACTGTAGGGTTTGTGGAAACAGAATCCTTCCTCAACAGGCTGGCCCTTTCTGTTGGCACTTACTAAAAACGGCTCACTTCAAATTGTGAGACTATCTCTTATAACCCAGAATCGTCCCTGGGGACCCTAAGAATGGTTCCTAAGAACATGAACATCCACAGAACAAAGCTCTGTATCCAGAATTCTGGGACGAGGGAATCCTAACTTCCATACTTTGTAGCCAGCAAACACAGCTGGCTTCCTCTCGTTTACAGTAACCAGCTCTGCACTTCTGACTTCTCCCCCTCTGCTGAACCCCTGGATTCTGACCCTTTAAGACCCCGAGACCTTCATGGAGCTCCCTCTCCCTCTGCCGTTAACAATATTTTAAAATTCCCCCATTTCCAGCTGCTACATAAGATGTCTTACAGAGTAGTTCCTTGTAAATACCTTCAGTTTGACCTAAGAATGACCTAGAGCTGGGTGGGATTAAAAGCCCAAAACCAACAGAGCCATAGATTAAGAACAGGAAGTTACATGGGCTGAAATGAAGAGTTCAGGGAGCTGACCTTGAATTCAAATTAAAATGCAACTCTACTATACTGAGGCCAAAACACCAGAAACACTGACTATCCTCAGAGACCTTGAAATTTTCATTGGCCAACCAGAAAGGCTACTTAAGTTTGCCATCAGTCTCCTTGCCTGTAGACGGTCATTAAGCCTGCTTCTTTTTGCAAACACCCTTGACATAGCACCAGTTTCTATGAGTGATGGACCACAACTACTCACTCAGAATCAGTCACATGAAACATATTAAATGAACCTGTGTTCCTTTCTCTTGTCATGTCATGTCATATGTACCCATCCCTGAACATAGCTATATTGGGTACTTTTGGACACTGTGACCAGATACCTGACAAAAATCCACTTAAAGACAAAGTGATTAATTTGTCTTATAGTTTGAGAGGGATAGAATTTTCCAGCTGGCCAGGCTCAGTGGTTGCAGACCTGTAATCTCAGCTACTTCTGAGGCTGAAGTAAGAAAATCATAAATTTAAAGCCTGCCAAGGCTACAAAGGGAATTCAAGGCTAGCTTGGGCAATTTAGTAAGAGACTGTCTCCAAAAGTAAAAGGATGGCTTGGGACATAGTTAACTGAGAGAACACTTAGCCAGCAGGCACAGAATCCTAAAGTCAATCCTAGGACTGGCAAAAAAAAAATTAATAAAGAGGATTTTTTTTTCCTTTAAATTAGAAGTAATCTTGTTTTCAATGTCAATCCCAGTTCTCTCTCCTTCCCCTCCTCCCCTGCCCCCCCCATCCCATCCCCTTTCTGCTCCCCAGGCAGGGTGAGGCCTTCCATGGGGGATCTTCAATTCTGTCATATCCTTTGGAGAAGGGCCTAGGCCCTCCCCCATGTGTCTAATCTGAGAGATTACCCCTCTATGTGGAATGGGCTACCAAGTCCATTCCTATACTAGGGATAAATACTGATCCACTACCAAAGGCCCCATATATTGCCTAGGCCTAACTGATACTCATAGGGTTCTGAATCAGTCCTATGCTGGTTTCCCAGCAGTCAGTCTGGGGTTCATGAGCTCCCCCCTTGTTCAGGTCAGCTGTTTCTGTGAGTTTCACCAGCCTAGTCTTGACCCCTTTGCTCATCACTCCTCCCTTTCTGCAACTGGATTCCAGGAGTTTATCCCAGTGTTTAGCTGTGGGTGTCTGCTTCTGCTTTCATTAGCTACTGGATGAAGGCTCTAGGATGCCATAAAAGGTAATCATCAATCTCATTATCAGGGAAGGACATTTAAGGTATCCTCTCGACTATTGCTTAGATTGTTAGTTGGTGTCATCCTTGTAGATCTCTGGACATTTCCCTAGTGCCAGATTTCTCTTTAAATCTATAATGGCTCCCTTTATTATGGTATCTCTCATCCTGATCTCCTCTATTCTTCCCCCAACTCAACCTTCCTGCTCTCTCATGTCCTCCTCTCCCCTTCTTTTCTCCCCTTCTCTTTCTCCTAACTCCCTCTCCCTTCTCCCCATGCTCCCAATTTGCTCAGGAAATGTTGTCATTTTCCACTTTTCTGGGGGACCATGTATGTCACTCTTGGGGTCCTCCTTCTTCCTAGCTTCTCTGGTGGTGAGGGCTGTAGACTGGTAATCCTTTGCTCTGTGTCTATGATCCATATATGAATGAGTACATACCATGTTTGTCTTTTTGTGATTGGCTTACCTCACTCAGGATGGTTTCTTCTAGTTCCATCCATTGGCCTGCAAATTTCAAGATTCCATTGTTTTTTTCTGCTGAGTAGCACTCAGCAGAATGTGGTGTAAATGCACCACATTTTCTCTATCCACTCTTCAGTTGTGGGGCATCTAGGTTGCTTCCAGGATCTACCTATTACATATAATGCTGCTATGAACATAGTGAAACAGACATCCTTGTTGTGTGAATGGGCATCTTTTGGGTATATGCCTAAGAGTGGAATTGCTGGGTATTGTGGTAGACTGAGTCCCATTTTTCTGAGGAATCTCCATGCTGATTTCCATAATGGCTGTATGAGTTGGCACTCCCACCAGCAGTGGAGGAGTGTTCCCCTTTTTCCACATCCTCTCCAGCACAAACTACCATTGGTGTTTTTGATTTTAGCCATTCTGACAGGAGCAAGATGGTATCTCAGAGTTGTTTGAATTTGCATTTCCCTAATGGCTAATGATGTTGAGCACTTTCTTAAGTGTCTCTCAAGCATTTTATACTCCTCTATTGAGAATTCTCTATTTAGTTCAGTCCCCCACTTTTTAATTGGATCCTTTGGTGTTTTTGAGACTTGCTTATTGAGATCTTTGTAAATTTTGGAGATCAGCCCTCTGTCAGATGTGGGGTTAATGAATATCTTTTCCCAACCTATGGGGTGCCTTTTTGTCTTGCTGATTGTGCCCTTTGCTTACAGATGCTTCTCAGTTTCAGGAGGTCCCATTTATTAGTTGTTGATATCAGTGTCTGTGCTACTGCTGTTATGTTCAGAAAGCAGTCTCCTGTAACCAATTCATTCAAGGGTACCTCCCTCCTACTTTCTCTTCTAAAAGGTTCAGTGTGGCTGAATTTTTGTTCAGGTCTTTGATTCATTTGAACTGAAGTTTTGTGCATGGCGATAGATATGGATATATTTGCAGTCTTCCAGACCCCAGCATCCAGTTATGCCTACACAATATGTTGAAGATGCTTTCTTTTCTCCATTGTATGATTTTAGCTTCTTTGTCAAAAATCAAGTGTTCGTAGGTGTGTGGGTTAATATTAGGGTTTTCAATTCGATTCTGTTGGTCTACCTGACTATTTTTTGTGCTAATACCAAGCTGTTTTCAGGACTATAGCTCTATAATAGAGCTTGAAGTCAGGGATGGTGATACCTCTGGAAGTTTCTTTATTGTACAGGGTTGTTTTGGCTATCCTGGTTTAAGAAAGGATTTTTCAAAGAAAATGGGTAGGCTGCCATCTCTCTCCTGCTAATGGACATCTATGGATGTAGATTCCTACTCTCCCAATATAAAACAGATAAATGTTCTGCCTTTCTGATGATTATATTTCAAATAAATGTTTCCAGATCCTTGAGGAAGACACTCCAGAGCTGTATGAGCACACACACAAAGGGGAAAATGAAGGAATTCCCATTGTAGGGTTCTTTAATTTTTTTCTTTGCTTATTTTTAGTGAATTCTCCAATAAGAGAAGGCAATGGCTCATGGTCAGTTGTTGGATGGAACAAACAGTCATTCCTCTAGCAGGTCTGTCCTTTTCCACACAGGAACCCAAAGAGTGGCTATGTCATCATAGGAACACAGCCTTAAGTTTCTAGAAGTCTATAGAAGAGTTTGGTTGAGCCACATGATGTAGAGGGTTTAAAGTACACATACCTCATCTTCACAAAGTTCTGTTGCCCTTCTTGTTTTTAGTGTCACGCCCTCTGCTCCTGCAACTATGGGCAAGGGATTGTTTCCCATACACATCCGAGAGTCCGTACCAGAGTCGCTGAAGCCTCTGTGGACATAACAGCAGACAGAATCTCATTGTATTCCCATGGATGATCCATACTAATTACTGGGGCACTGGGAGATCACATATCAAATCTGTAGAAATCAGTCTCCTTCATTTCTCACCTAATACTCTTTGTACCTGAAGACAGGATATTATTCTAAATAAAATGGATGGAGAAACAAAGAGATTACAGAGAAAGTAAAAATACACCTATATCAATACTCATTGCCTCATTCCAACAGATGGCTCTTTTGCATACTAAGCATCCAGGCCTACAGCTGGCCCTAGAAAATGTTCAATAAATGCATGAGTGAATGAAAGAACAGACCTATGTAATCTTCACATAGCATACATTTATGTCTGAAATGAAATAAATTATCTAATTGATGACTACATGCTTTTTTTCTATTTCAATTCTTTATTATTATTTATTTATTTTTAAATTTAAATGTAGATTAGAAACAAGGTTGCTTCACAAATCAGTTCCAGGTCCCTCTCCATTTCCCTTCCCTCCTCCTGTGCCCTCCCTCAGCCCCCCCATATCCCCTCATTTCACCAGGGAGGGTGAGGCCCTCCATGGGGGTATCCATAGTGTCATTTCATCCAGGGCAGGGCCTAGACCCTCCCCCAAGAGTTCAGGGTGAGAGTGCATCTCACATTGTTGGATGGGAGTCCAAAGTCCATGTGTATACTCGGGAGAAGGACTACATGCTTTTTAAGAAACATTTATTATTTGGTTCATTATAATATTTTGTATTACAATGCAAAAGAACCCCAATTATATAAACTAAAAAGCAAACACACCTTTAATACCATCACTGATAAATCATGGCTACTAATATATTTGTTTTTGCATATTAAAACATATTACTTCAAATTTTTAAATGCCAAATTAAATTATATAGTATCTCATTCATATAGCCAGTATGTCCACACTGAATGTTATGAGCTTTTTTTTTTTTTTAAGAAGAAAGAACCTTTACTGTCTTCAGAAATAAATTGCCGAAGAGCAGTGGTTCTCAACCTGTGAGTCTTGACTTCTTTGGGGTTGAGTAACCCCTTCACAGGGGTTGAATATCAGATATCCTGAATATATTTACATTACAATTCACAACGGTAACAAAATTAGTTTTGAAACAGCAACAAAAATAATTTTGTGGCTGGGGGTCACCACAACATGAGAAACTGTATTAAAGGGTCACAGCATTAGGAAGATTGGGAGCCACTGCCCTAGAGAGAGCTCTTGTTTATTAACTCACTTTTGTTTTGATAACTTTATACATGCATAAATAATGCATTCGGTTAACTCTCACCCCAATACATGACGATTTCCCTCTTCCCTAAAAACCCCTTTTTCACAGTCACGACTTTTTGTTTCGTGACTACTGAGTTTAGCCAGGGCTATCTATGTGACAAGGACTGCCCCTCTCCCAGAACCTATATATAGCTAGTAATTCAGCAGGAGGGAGGTTGGTTCCCATGTATGATCATGTCCTCCCTCCAGGACCAGTCTTGCGCAGGCTCAGTGCAGGAAACCACAGCTGCTGTGTGCTCCTGTTTGGAAATGCCTTCGGGGCATCTCCGTGTGTCTTCTGCTTTTAATGCTCTTTCCATTCCCTCTTCCATGATGTCCCCTGAGCCTTAGAGCGGTGGCACGATAGTCTTGTTTAGACCCGAGACCTCAACCGTCACTTGTTCTTAGCACCTTGGGTAGCCGTGAGTCTCTACCCTTCACTACAAAGAGTCTTCCCTGATTAAGGGTGAGAGTAGCATCAGTCTGTGGGTACACACAGATATTTAGAAGGCAGCCTGACACTATGTTAGCTCAACAATAACAGTAAGTTCCCCACTAGGGTCTATGACCTCCACAGTCATGGGATTTTTTAAAAATCTTTTTATATATTTACTTTTATGTGTATGAGTATGTTGCTTGCAAATATTTCTGTTGAGCTCATGCATGCCTGGTGCCCACAGAAGTCAAAAGAGAATACCAGATACCCTGACCTGGGAGTTATGGGTAGTTGTAAGTTGCCCTGTGGGGGCTGGGAATCAACTCCTGGTCCTCTGCAAGAACAAGTACTCCACACTACTGAGCCCTCCATCTCTCCAGCCCTAACCATGGCTTTTGGACCAGGCATGAATCATCCCTTGTGGCATAGGCTCTCAATCCATCAGGAGAGATTTAGTTACTTGAAAATGGCATGCCACACTTCGGGCTTCTCTTAAATGCATAAGCTTGCTTTTGTGTTTCAGTTTGACTTACATTCAGGCTGTCCCAAGACCAGCATCCCTCCTCAAGTTGTTTCCTTTAAGTAGGTGTTAGAGATTCATGGGCATCTTAAAATAATCCATTATGGTAAGAAACAAACCATACGGATCTTTTAAAGAATGACATTCTGAATGTACTGAAAACTGCTCATTTCTCTTTGAAAGTCTAAATTCCCCACAGTCTGTGCTCGAGGTGATGCACATGTACTCTTTGTTCCGTTCCATTCCTTTGATCGGAAGACTCCAGAGAACTTCTCAAGTCCTCAGAATGACACAGCACCCTCCACCCACCTCACCGCTGAATCGCCTTCCGTCAGGAGCTACCCTTCAAGTTTAAGTAAAGCCTACAGGAAAAGCTCTCGTTTCCTTATCTAAAATCTTTCTACTCTGCCACTCAGAGAAAATTAATATTTTTCTAAAATTAAAATACTCTTACAGCTCTATCATTATTGGAAAATTAGATTTTTTTTCATTTGGCACATCCCGTATTTTAAGTGATTTAAGAAGCTGAACAAGAAGCTAGTCCTGTTGTTATAATTACACAATAATAATATATTCAGCAGACCATACAGTGTTAGAATGTGAAGATTGCCTTCTTCTCTCAGTGTCTAATCTGCTCTACTAATCATGTAAACCAAGAAATTTATGCAATGATGACTTTATAAGAATTATCACAATTGATCTATCTATTCAATTATTTTTAAGAGCAATAACAAGTGTTTTGGACTTTGTCATGCAAAATATGCAAGTGATTTCATTTTCCCTTTCCCAATAATGTGAACGGAGTTTCAGTGACCTTGTGTGTTTGGAGGCAGAGTTACTTCTTGATAGGACGGAAATGAAGAAAGATGTCTCTTATGCTGCTAGGGGAACAATATTTAAAAGTGTGTCCTCCACTGGGGCTTGGATGACCTTCATTTGAGAGTATTGTATGGAGCTATCTACTTGTCATAATGCCTGGGGTCTGTTGAGGGCATTTAGTGCCTACAAGTCAGGGATGGAGGCTTCCTATAATGTATACACCATTCCTATACTGCACAGAGTATCAGATACAAAGTGCCCACTAGACCCTGTGATGATGTGCTGCTTATGGAAAACCGTGTTCCTTTGGATATTTAACTGCAAACACTAAAACCAGCTTTAGCCCATTTTCTTTTTCTTCTTTAATTCATTTATTTCATGTGTGTGAGTGTTTGGCCTGCATATAAGTATGTGCACCATATGTGTGGCTGGTACCCACAGAGGCCAGGAGGTGGAGTTGCATCTCCTGTATCCCTGGAATTGGAGTTAGTTGTGAGGTATCATGTGGGTTCTGGAAAACTGAAACCAGGTCCTCTGCAAAAGCAACAAGTGATCTTAACTGCTGAGTCATCCCTCCTGCCCAATCTTAGCCAGTTTAAAGTAGAACCAGGACTTAGTAGCAACCAGGACTTAGTAGCTGCAGACTACCCAAAAGACATGGAAAAATCAGTCTGGGAAGTCAAGAGAGAGAACAATGCCCCATTACATTCTGAGAGACCCTGTACCACTATTCACTGTTAGTTTATCAGGCCTACTCAAGCTATGTATGTATGTGGGGGTGATGAGTATACATGTTCTTGTGTTCATAAGCACATGCACATACTGAAGCACATGTATGTGTATGCATATGCATGAGAATGTCTGTTTATGTCTTACTCAATAGATCTCATATTTTGAGAAAGGTCCCACCATGGACCTGGGACTTGCTGATTGGCAAGACTGACTAGTCAGTGAACTGCAAAGACCTACTTCTCTCTACAACCCATTCCAGCATTGGGGTTACAGATGAATGCCTGCAGTGTTTAATATGGGCCCTAGACATTTAAACTCAAGTCCTCACACTTGTATGGCAGGAACTTTACCAACTCAGTCATGCTCCTAGCCCCACTGCCGCTTCTTTGAGCTACTCTCCTCACCAGTGTGGGCAGACTCAATTCGGGATCTCCCTCTTTCTTGGTGGAGCCTAGATCCCATATGTGAATCTCAGTGCACCAATGAGATGCTCAATTCCAGGACTCTCCCTGTGGCCTATCCCCTGGGGAAGCAGGGCTTACTGGTAGGAGCTTAATAGACATAGAAAAAGTATTCAAGAGAGCCGAGCAGTCACAAACTGTGACAAATGTCCACCAAGTCATCAAAAGCCCTGATTTTAACCCTTTCCCTGAAGGCAGTGAGAACAGCTTCCAAATTTGGTTTCCAGGATCTCAAAAGGATATACTTAGTCTCTCCCCACTGTTGTACATGCATGTTATTTTCTCTACTTCAATCACCATATCAGATATTTGCATTGGTGCATATGTGCCATTTTTGTTTCTCCCAGCACTATAATTTCTGCCTAGCTGTAGAATTCTTGTTTCTTTGTCCTCTCACCTCCTACAACTTTTTATATCTCACATAAGTATATATAAAAATGTTTTCTAAAGTTATAGGTTAAGATGAAATATATATGAGGGGAAAAGTCAGTGAAGAAATGACAGCTTCCTTTCGTACAAAGGTACCATGGAAACACTGTACCAGGTGGGTTGGGGCAGGAACTGTATGGAGACATTGAACTGCTATACCAGTCTACCATAGTTATTAAAGAGCAAATGTGGTGTAAGTCATATAACTCCCTAAGCAGGCCAGAACCCTAAATGGACTCTGCCATGTATCCAACATAAATTAAAGTAAGTAACACAGAAGGATATGGGGCAGCATTTCAAAAAAGTAGTTTGGATCATTAGAGGGAAAGCAGTATAGGTGTTAAGGGAACATCAAATGACTTCCTCAGTTCTGCTGTTCAGTCTCTGGCTTACTGCCCCTAGCTTTACTGCTACAAGAGGATTTCATGCTCTTCCAACATGTGACAAATAATGAGATTTATAGATGACTAGCTAGTACAGTTTCCATTTTAAAACCACCACCTGAATTGATCAGTTGCATTTAAATAAATACAAATTAGTGGTTTAGAGTGTATTATACTGTAGAAGATAATAGTGCCTGCCTTCAGAAGTTCTCAAATCACCTTCTAAATGAGCCTCATTATCCCCAATACAGTGATCCAGGGAAGAGTGTCTGTAGATTATTTCATAATTTTAAATTCATTGACTCCAAGGTAATTGCTCAAATCCTTATTTTAACTGTGAATGAAACTACCTAAGGTTTTATCTTGTTAGTGTGTGCACAGCCATCAAATGAATGTGGGACTGGGGGAATGTTTTCAATGTATTCTGGGTTGGTTTTTATTTCTTTTTTGTTTTTTAGATTGCTCTTTTTTAATCTATCTGGAAAAGCTGGAATTCGTGGATGCATCTGTGATGTTTGAAGATGCTGAGAAAAGATTCTAAATATTTCTCTTCATACCCACCCAGAACTGTAGTCCTTACTCCTCATCAAAGAAACTAGCAGACGGAGACCATCCAAGAAAGCCATCAAAATGCAGGGTTGTGAGCCCAGTTCTGTCGGATGCATCTACAGCACAACTCCCACATCTAAGACTCAAGGATCCCTGAAGAAGAAGGAACAGAAAGGACTGGAAGGTTGGGGCCAGATTGTGTCTCCTATGAATGTCAGAAGCCACACCCATGAAATGTCATCAACATGGCCACCCAAACATGACCTAAACAAGGACGACACCAGCAGACATGCTAACATGGAAGGGGGGAAAGCTCAGGCAGTTCAGCCTTAGACAAAGTAACACAGGCAGCTGAGGAATGCCGGGAGCAAGAGAAACAGTCTTCCCTATGGAAGAGCATTTCACTTAGTTAGCCAATACCAAGTGGTCAGCCCTGAAAACACATAAATACAAGTAACACTATACAGACTGAACAGACACACACACACACGCACATGCACACATGATATTCGAGCTATCTCACATATATGTCTGATAACAAAGAAAAAGAGGCCATGAATTTGAAAGATAATAAGGGAAACAAGGTAATATGAGAGGATTTAGAAGGAAGAAAGGGAATGAAATGATGTAATTATAATCTCAAAAATTTGGGTTGGAAAGATGGCTCAGCTGTTTAAAAGGCTAGGCTCACAACCAAAAATCTCAAAAAAAAAAAAAAAAGAAAAAGAAAAGAAGAAAAAGAAAGAAAAAATGCTCAGTACAATGGCTGACAATAGATTATCTATTCATCAATTTACACTTTTGGAAAGCTCACATGACATCACAAGTGGAAAACTCTTCACCTGGCCTCACGGGATGAGTTGCCGTGAAAATGCAGGCACACTACAAACTACATAAAGTGACCTTGAGGCTGATATAGAAAATATATGAAACAGATGAAGTTCCTGTTCAGACATGGAACCCATACCTAAGATGTCACAAGTATTCCAAAATCTGAAAAAAAAATATCTAAAATCAGACATACTTCTGATCCCAGAAATTCCATATGAAGTACAGCAACCTGTGTATCCAAAGGACAAAGAACCTCCAGTTTAGTCTACCCTGAGAAGAGGATTAATAGAATCTAGCATTTTACAAGGGAGGCCAAGTTCAAAGCTGACAAAATATTATCCTACTGTTTAAAGTATTGCTTTCTGATACTTTTACTCTCGTGGGATCTATTTTTCTAGTGACTGACTCTTAAAACGTTGGAATGTGGTTCTAAATGAGAATATTTCCCCTAGGGGTTCCCTTCATGAAACTGACAACCAATATGTAAAAAAGAAGGGGATGTCCTCCAGAAAGTCAAACACCCAATGTCATAAGGGGAATGATGTAACCCAGTCCAGCAGCCAGCAGACTGGCAGCATCAAGGCAAGTCCCAAAGAAAACTGCCCTAGGGCTCCTTGAAACCACCTGACCTGGACCATGAAGTCCCGAAGATGAATAAGCTAGATCAAGAACACCTGTCACTGTTAATCCAAGTCGAGAGCAACAGGAACTTCCTGGTCTGGTGTTTTTGTGATCAGGTTCACAGGAGGATTCCATGGACAAGGATTAAAATCATTAGATATCTAGATGTTTTCTATTGTATTAGCTGACCACTCTCATATTTGTACAAAGTGAGAACTGCATGCGCGCGCGTGTGTGTGTGTGTGTGCAGGTGTGTGTGTGTGTGTTTGCGTGCACGCGCATGCGTGCGTGCTCGCTTCAGGGACTTTATTACTCATCTTTAATTTTTGAAATATTGTATTTGGTTAAGGGAAGAATTGCCCCATTGTAAAAAGTGTCAGCTTTGAAGTCGTACAGATTTGAGTTTAAATTTAGTCCTACTTTTTGTCCCTGGGCCATTTCAGGAATAGGTCTCCAGTTTTCCTAATGTAGAAAGTATTAATTACTTCCTACTAGGACCACTTAAGGGAAGGAATTTAACCATATACCCAAATCACCTGGCACATAGCCCAGGTCTTCATGGGTATTTAACAATGGAAATTGACCGGCAACTAAAGTTAACAGAAAGACATGGAATTGGAGTTGAAAAAAAAAAATGCTTTTCTTTCAAGCTACTTCTCCTTGAAGAGAAGATATAGATGATGCTAAGAAATACCAATCTGAACTTGTTCCTGTGGATTATGGAATTTCACCAAAGCAGCAATGGAACACTGTGGCCACCCGGTTGTGGCTCAGTTCCAAATTCCTAACATCCTTGTGGCTTTGACTAGGGAGCCCAACCTCCAACTCTGTGTCCTCGTTAGAAAAACAAGGAAAGGTCTAAGCATCTTTGCTTCCTTCCTTTAGCATTACGCAAGGAAATCTGTAATGACCTCCAATGCTCAGTGAGGATTCCCAGCAGGCACCTTACAAGGGAGTTATGGCTCGCCACCAAGCAGGGATTCATGGTTAGTCCTTCAGAAGGGGTTCATGGCCAGCTGCTGGGGGCAGGGGTTTGTGGCCAACTGCTGGGGGGTTGGTTCGTGACCAGCTACTCAAGGCGGTTCATGGCCAGCTATTCAGTGGGGTTCAGGGCCAGCCCCTCTCACCAGGAGTTGATGGCCAGCTATTCAGTGGGGTTCAAGGCCAGCCCCTCTCACCAGGAGTTGATGGCTGGCTTCCTGGAGGGTTCATAGCCAGTAGCTAGCACACCTGTATATCTAAACGAGCTTGTTCTCTTCGTCATTGTGATGAAGTGACATAGGGTTAGTCATTTTGAAGACCTCACTTAGGTTGTCTTTCAATTTTCTCCTCTGCTATTACTTGTGTATGAAGTTGACTGATTTGAAACAGTCACGAAACAGTGTGACGTCGACAATGATGTGACAGCATGCTTCCTTAGCACAAAGACAGGAAACAACGAAACTACAGAGACCCACACTCATGACTTTGGGACACCAACAAGGACCCAGTGGTTTCCAGAAGAAAGAAAAGGAAAAGCAGCAAGGGAAACAGTACATTTATTAAGAGGCATGAAAATGTAGGAACTCATAAAGTATTACAATATGAATTAATGTCGTATCATTTACCCAGGGAAAAATTAGCCAAAATCCATGAGCAAACTGGATTGTATAAGGGAGATGACTACATATTTGATCTCTAATTATTTCCTCCCCCCATCATCTATTAGTAGCAGCAATTTTTAAATGACTATTGAAAAAGCTGTTGCAAATAAACATCACATGGGGAGAAACATTTTAAGAATGCTCTATTAAAAATGAACCAGGGGCTGGAGAGATGGCTCAGCCGTTAAAGGCTAGGCTCACAACCAGAAACTATAAAAGTGAATCAGTGCAAACTATACAAATGGGGAGGAACACAGTGCAGCTTGAGGCTGTTCTTCAGAAAAGTAGAAAATAAAAACACTGAACATTCATTCACTAAGAAAGGAAAAAGCAAACTACATTTTCATCAGTGAAAAATAACACATGTGGATATTATAAAACATTCTTAACCAGTGACTGCAATGATTACATTTATAAATGTTCATTCAAGTACGGATACTCAATAAGCATTCAAATTCTTATAATATGTAACACAATGTGAGGCTGGACAAGCCTGGCCAATGCTGGTAAGAAAGGGTCACATCAACAGGAGGCAGGCGACCCTTAGAATACTGTTGTTGCTTTTATTTTGTCTTGTTTTCTTGTCTACAAAGGATTTTTCATAGTCAATGTTCTTTTTGTTTTTATCTGCAAGGACCCATGGAACATCTCACAACAGCTAATTAAGAAGTTACATCTCTAAAATGAGTCAACAACACCCAAACAAACATTCTAAAACTCAACTTTAGCTGATGATGATGATAAGGCAAAAATATGTTTTCTTTGGCAAGAAGTTGTTGATTCCTTACCAAATGTTGGTTTGTGGGCTTTGTAGAAACTGTAAGAACACTTTAGTTATTTACCAAAGGGCTATGTCTGGGCTGAGAGTTCATAAGCTTTTCACCATCATAAGCAGTAGAGAGCTACAGCAAAGTCACACTTAAGTCAGCATCGTCTGTATGAATCCCATCATTAAGAACTCTTCCTTCGAAAAGCTCCTTCCTAATCATGGCCTGAGTCTCAGGCTTTAGCAAAAGTTCCTTTATCTGTTTCACTTTGGACTTCAGCTCCATCCTTTCTCGGTGCAAAGCTTCATTAATTATGTCTTGGATCCCAACTGGTTTCTTGCCTAAGGGGGAAAAATTATATGATACATTTAAAGTACAAATATCACTGAAATACATCAAATATGGCACACTGACTTATCAAAATAAGGCTGAAAACTCTCTAAAATGTTACCCACGTTTCATAGAAAAGATTGCATTTTGCCAAAAATATATAATTTACGTGAAACCTAATTTCTGCAAATAAAGATCACTGCATGGTAACAGTACACGGGGGACAAACGTGAAACACTGTAGACTCACTACACTCATGATCATTTCAACAGTGACAAACTGTTGACGGTACTTGACAGCTGTGTGCAGGTTTTGGCCTCAGATAGTAGTCAAATGCTCTAAGCAATGTAAACGGCAGTATTCCATCGGTGGCAAGTCCTCCCCCTCGGCCCGCGGGCCTTCCCGAGGTGGCCCCTCTCCCTCGTGCATGCTTGATGGTACATGGCCTTGGGATTGTTCTTCTGTAGACTAATTTCTTCTGCTGGCCCCGGCACCCCACTCTCTTCTGCTGTGTCGCAGCTACTTCAACACATCGATCATCCACGTGCTAGGCGATCTCTGGGGCTCGAACAAGACCCGTAAGTAGCACGTTGCAAGTCAGTCTGCGACTTAGCAGAGGGGCAGGGATGCTTTTCACAGAGCAGCGGGAACAGGCTCCACTCTCACTTCCTGTTGCTATCACTGCCTTTGCCATTCTGATTGGCCTCTTCAGCTTTGGTGGAGTTCCCCTCCCCCGGCTGCTTTTTGTTCTGCGTTTCTTCCAGATACTGCTGGACAGCCTTGAGCACGGCGTTCTCCACCAGCCTCTTACTGAGCCTGACCAGTTCGGCATCCTCAGGCTCCCCTCGGTCCTTCTCACCTACATTCCACAAGAGAAGAGAGGTCACTGAGCTCATATTGCCATAGCAACGAGGCCACCAGGGCCCAAGCTAGTTCAGCTAGTTAAAAGAGCAAGTGTCCTTCACTCTGCCAAATGAGATCTATAAATCCAAGGAGAGTGGGTTGCCTTTTCCTATGGCGTTTGTCCAAGCACGAGCCTGTCTATTGCTGAAGACAGTCCATTAGACATGCCCTGGCCCGCAGTGAAGTGGCCTTCCCATTTCCACAGGACTTTTGTGTTCCTCTATCGCCCAAAGCTAATGAGTGCTTGTGCCTGCCACCTGAGGTCCCAGGCACATGAATTCACCAAGGAGATCTGATCTGCTGTTCCTTCTCCAATGCTAATTATCAGGGAATCAAGAGTCCGCTGTCATCTCATGACTTGGGATCATTCATTTTAAAATGCTTGGCATAGAGACTGGTTGTCTCCAGCTCACAGCAAGGCAAATGCAGTCACCAGTGCCAGTAGCAGCAGTTTAAAACAGGACTGCAAAGACCAGCAATCTCTGTTTAAAAATCTCCTGATGGTAACTTCCTAGATGTCACAGTCTTATGATCATTCTGCTCTCCTTCTAGTGATACTTCAGGTGTACGTAAAGTATTCACTTCACTGCTTTGAAAAAGAGCTACTTCTCCCATGTTCTTGTACTATGCATCACCCTGCCACTCTCCAAATCCTCTCTTTACTGGGGAAAGGGAAAGGGCCTCTTCCACTGAGTTCACTCAGCACACTCCCTCCCTCCCTCCAATGTAGACTGGAAATCAGATGGTGTTGAAGAAGTCACCACGTTGCACACAGTGAGATGAGCCCATTGTGGGACAATCACCCAAGGGCTCATGATGACAAAGCCAGTACTACACCTGCATGTTCGGGTCTGGGACAGGAGGATACAATGAGTGTAAGCAGGAAGACGGATATTATTTTCTATCCTCATCTATAACAGGGCTTGGAGAACAAAAGAAGATGTGTCAAAAGCAACTTGTGGCCCTATACTGTCATTTGTCTACAACACAACACAGGACCGATTCCGTTGATAGCCCCCAGCCTGCCTATGGACAGATATCACAATCAAAAGTGAGGGTGGGTTACAACCAACCTAGAGAGATGCCTTAGCAACTGCTTTGTCCTCAAATATGGCACCAAAGATCAGTAGTCTAAGCACACGTGCAGTGCAAAACACGTTCAGAATTGAGTAAGCTTTGACTTGGTGACAATTACAGAGAATCTACTAACCAGATACATCATGTACAGAATTGAGTAAGCTTTGACGTAGTGACAATTACAGAGAATCATGGTATTTTGAAAAGAAGAAAAAAAATCATTACTAATATAGCTTTAGGCAAGGTTCAGATTTTACTAATAAGAATGTGTGGGAATGTTGTCTAATATTTAAAGTATTTGCTCTCAATCTTACAGCACAATATTTACCCTGTACAGATGAGATTTCTACATGCATTACATGTAACTATTTGTATAGTGGTTCTCCAAATTTAAAAGAGAAAACCAGATGCAAATGAACAGATGCTATCTGAGTGACTTTCAAAGCACTGGAAATGACTTTCTAAATCTCTGCCCTAGGTACTACACCCAGGCCAGGGACTGCATTTTTGTGGACAGCAGTATTTCAAATATCTTGGCATTTAAAGTCACAGAGACATTGACAGAATCAACAAGGTACATAATATTAGACCTGAGAGGGATTTTGGAGAATGAGTTATTAATTAATTAAATCCAATCTTGTTATCTTTACAATGAAAAAGGCTAGTATGGTTCACAGAGGAAGACCCTGCCTCAACACTTTTCCTAAAGAGAGAATTTTTCAATATAAAAGCCGTCCCAGAAAAATGTTAATTTCCCTTCTGGCTGTCCTATTTTTGTTCATGCTTTTACTATTATCCAAGTCAATCAAACTGAAAACGTGATTATCTTTGACACGTCCCTGCCCCTCATCAGCACACGTAATTGCAGAACACTGTCAATATGTGCTTCACAATTTCTCCTGCCTACAAGGCACCTGACTAAATGCCTCTAGATTAACTTTTCTAAAATGTCCCTTTCAGACTGCGAGTGGTGGCACACAACTTTAATCACAGTGCTCAGGAGGCAGAATCAGGAGGATCTCAGTGACTTTGAGGCCAGCCTGATCTACACACAGATCAAACTCTGGGCCAGCCAGGGCTACATGGTGCCCTATCTCAAAATACTTGCATAAGGACAGCAGTCTTTTACCTTAACCTACAAGACAAAGGCATTCCCCAGTGTCTCGTTAGCCATGGCAGCTCATCACAGGATGGCCATATATACAACTCTCCTTTGATTCCAGAAAGACAATTACGAAAGTATTCCTAACCAAAGAAAGCATCAAACTCATGATCAAAACTATCCTTTCTTGGTTTATTGACTCTCGTTCCCACTTAACAGATGAACTTTTGCCTTTGACAGTGTATTAAGAACTCTCCTTGACATACCTTTAGTGATAGTGTTTGAGACTCTGTAGCCCAGGATGGCATGGAATGCATTGCATAGCCTAGAACAGCTAAAACAGACAATAAGCACCCTGTCTCCAACTTCCAAATGCAGGAATTATAAACACAAAGAACCACACCCAGCTAAATGATTTCCATGAAAATCCTAAAACATATAAAAGTAATGGAAAAGGTTTTCAAACTACAAAACACAATCAAATGTGGTGGCTTATGCCAATAATCCTAGCATTTGGGAGGCTGTGATAAGAGGTAAGTGAGAGTCTAGTCTGCATTTTATAGTGAGTTTTACATCACTTTGGGCTATAAAATGAGCTTATCCCAAAATATCATTCACTAAATATTCACTAAATGAGAATAAGTCTGCTCAACATAGTATGTCCTGAAAGACACAAAGTTAAGATATTTTTCAACAAACTTCACATGAGCAATGAGGAGTAAACAACTCAATAAGTGTGTGGTACCCTTTATTAATGGTCTGTACCCATTATTCTGGCTTTGTTTATGTTTACTTGAGAGCTTTGGTACCAATACAAGTCAGTGATAAGGTTTATTTTTTGTGATGATAAAAAGAAAGTAACTCATCAGTGATGGAAAGAAAATTTTAGAATGTCTAGGATAATTTAAGGTGAGTCTTAGTGTGGCTCCATTGGTCTTTTAGCATACGAGCTGAGCTGACCCAACAAAAGCTGGATTGATATCACATGAAAAGCTCTAGAGATTGCCACTACCTTGTGACAACATCTAAGTGCCTATTTGTACTGACAAGAATAAACCAACAGATAGTAATTTGATTTCTTAAGAAGCAGAAAATATAGTGTAAGAATGAAAGAGGGGGAGAGAGAGAAGGAAGGGGGAAATACACACACACACACACACACACACACACACACGTGCGCGCGCGGGGACACATCAAAATGAGAACATTCACAGCTGTCACTACACACCAAGTATCAAAAGCCTTATTTTGGAAAGCACAGCTCCTCTGACTCCTGAGGCTGCAGCAGAAACTCTGGCTGACACTATGGATATTGTTTGCATTATCATGAGAAAACACAAAAAAAGAAAAGCTGAGAGGTTTGTGAATGTTCAAAGGCACACACACAAAAGAAAAGCTGGTAGGAAGGCTTGGTTCCAACACACCACGCCATGCTGAAAAACTATAAAAGGATGCATGGAAAGACAGACAACAAGAAAAGGGGACAAGGTTCCCCAGGTACAGCACCTGACCTAAGAGGCTTCCAAAGTGATTAAAATAATAATAGCAAGAAAGGAAGTACCCAGGGAGAAATGGAGGTATTGAAAGTCACTGATACCTTTGGTGGCCACGCCAATAATCCTAGTGCTTGGAGGACAGAGGTTGGAGGAGCCGCAGTTAGAGTTATCGTCACTGGCTACACAGTGAATTCAAGACAAGCCTTGGCGGCAAGACACATTGTCTCAAAAGTAAAAACAAAGGAAAGCAACACAGAACCAGTTACTGAAACAGCACTGGGAGGAAATGGGAGAGGTTGTTACTGACGCCACAAAGAAAAGGCTCAGTGACCCCATGGGCTTTCTGCTTCCATAAGCCTATGCATCTCCCACTAAACTGAAGACACCTGTGGCTTGCCAAAACCTGATGTGAAAAGAACTCCTCACCTCACTC